ATACGAGTCGTTTATAATTGATTGAAAGCTTAGATCGTTTGTCTAGTAAGTGCTGCAGTAGTCGAAAACGTCGGGCGGTTTCTAGTCGTTTCAGTCTGGTATGGGGGTATTTTTTAAAATAAAAAAAAAAGATAACAAAAATGTAGAGAAATTCATTAACTGCGCTGAGTATTCTATAAATGCACGTTTTATGTTAATTAAATTTTAAAACCAAAATTTTTTAATCCAATAATACTAAAATAACTACAGAACTTCACGCTACCTTAATTTGAAAGTAAAATTTCATGTTTATAAAACACAAAATTTATAATTTAAAATAATTTGTATATTAGAATATTCCCTATACGGAATAATAATGCAGAACTGGATTAGAATCCCACAACAATCCAGTAATTTTAATGATTAAAATTGTCTGTTATATTTCACAGAATAACTATATTTATCAAGAATGCAAGCTTTCAAGAATGCAAATTAGTGTTGTTGTTTTTTTTACTGCTATGTTCTGCTAACACTTCTTCATAGATCGATAGTGGCCACATTCAATCTAGATAATCGTAAACCATTGATACTGCCTAAGAATAATACAGTCATCAATATCAACCTTTGTTCAATCACCCAACACCATCTCAACCCGATGACATACTGAATTGATATCTTGTCGGACAGTTGATATGCTCGGTTAAGTATAACATTATGACAGTCGAGTAATTTTCCCATAATAATATGCCACCAAATGTCATCTATAAAATACTAAAGTGGATCCTGATATCCCAACAGAATCTCCATCATTAGTAAGTTCTTTTGATTTTATTCTTTTGTTTTTTATTTAGTTTATTGAATGACAATACAATCTGCCACTTCAAAGAACAACAAGAATTAACGCCGCAAGTGGGCACTCATAGAATATATACAACGAATAGAAAAATAAATATAATAATCAAATATAATAAAAAAATACGTTTACAATAAAAAGAATTTATCTTGAGCGACAAAGTGTTGTATAATACCAAGAAACTGTTGTGAAATCGATGATATTGTACGGTACGAAAACAATGGGGTTCACAAATATGAAGGGGTTGTTAAAAACGGAAAGAAAAATCCTGTGGAATATAATAGCACTAAGAAAATAAAGGATAAGTACGTAATGAGGGATAATCGCATATTGTACAAAATAGTATGACAAAGGGTATGAAGATATCAATGAGAAAAAAAATGAGTTTTTACGGACTCATGGTCGGGATGGACAGAAATAGATTGAGTAAGAAATATTTTGATAAAGTGCTAGGAGTCAAGCACATAAAGGGTTATCCAGAACAGATAAAGAACGAAATAGCCAAACTGAATATAACAAGCTAGCTTTATATGGATAGAGTCGGATTCCGAAAATGCGTTGACCAAATGAGGGTCCTTGAAGCGGACAGGAGGAGAGGAAGGCACAGCGCTCTGCAAGGATGAAAGAAGTGTAGAGAAGGAGAAAATAAGTGACATAAAAGAAAAAGACTAAGTGATAAGTTCCAGGTACGTGGTCCAGATTAAATATTGAGATTAAAAAATAAAAAAGTTATTTTCTTGAACACATTTTGCAAGCTTTGTCCTGCAAGCTGCACATGTTGAGGACAAAGCAGGACTCCAGCAGATTTCAGTGCTTCTATTCCAGCCACCTATTTCTGGTATTAGAAGCCAGTGGAGTCTGAAAGAGGGCACTAATGTGGCGAAGCTGGTCATTGCCAGAACTCCAAAAGCATATTTTACAAAAGATCTCGGGGCCACTACCATTTTAACTTTCGAGGAGGATTATAGGGATGGTCGGAGCTGGATAAGGATTTAGCTAGAGGATAAAGTCAAATTTTGTAAACCTAGATGTGATAATGTCAAGGACATGTAGGATGTTAAGATCATAGTATAAGGTCTTGTTTGGGACATAATATGGAGCATTGACTATTTTTCTAAGAACTTTGGACTGAAATGATTGGATACATTTGACATTTGAATATTTAGCGGTCCGCCACAGTTCAAGTCCGTATGTCCAAATAGGTTTAAGTACTGCCCAAATCGTCGGTTAAGTTCTTACTTTTAAGTCGGGTGTGTGGATTTGAAGTTACTATTGGTAAATTCTGAAAATAATACTTGATCTGAAATATATTAGTGAATTTCAGACGGGGAATGAAAAAAAAAATGCCGAGAATCGTTGATAAATTTTAATAATTAAATAGTAAAAGTTTAATAAAATATTTTTTTAAAAAAAAATAAATAGTTTAATTTCTATCATTCATGGAACGCTTTGTCCCAGGAACGATAGCTAACTTAAAAAAATTAAAATCATTGTTCAGTTTAATTTATATTGTTTGAGATGATTACAATTAATTTCTATTATATGATGAGTTGTTTATGTTTTCGAAATATTTTCTTACGGTATAGTCACTAATTAATTAATTTTAAAATTAATTCTATGAAAGTTAATTAACTTACTGATTTTTTAACTCCTCAGTATCTTCTTGGTCTTAATATAAATTATTTTTTAAAAAGGAATATACTACTTTGCTACTACTTTCACAACTTAATGGTTAGGAGCAGATGTTTTGAAAAGTTATTTAAAATTTATAACATATGGTATTACAGTTTTTTTTTTTTTTTTTTTCTCTCCGCTACCTGGCATTTTTAGGATGTATGAGGTTTATCTCGGGCCAGGAGTGAGGGTGGAGGATTTCTGCCAGAATTAAAAGTTAATATATCCATAGATATGGTGAGGGAAGAGATCTTGGTATGGTAGGGGAGTCAGGGAATAAGCTATGTCACAATTTTAGATTTCAAAAACTATTATATTGATTATATATATATATATATATATATATATATATATATATATATATATATATATATACGAATACCTCAAAGGATAAAATTTTTTTTAAATTTGATTAATTTGTATAGTATAAAAAGTAATCTCAATCAAAGTAATTAAGTAAACGTAACAACAACCATAACTACCAATTCGAAGTAATTCATGTTTGAGACTTTTTTTATTAAAAATTAACACATCTCCACCATTTTCAGCAAATATAAAATGTCGCAGCTCATCATTTTTTTATCATGCAAACGTCTATGAAATTCAAAACAAGTACCATTGCCGATTATATTTTTACTTCCAGAATTCAAGAACAATGGGTTTGGGCGGAGACATAAAGAAAAACAAAACATAAGACAGAAAGTGGTAGAAGGTCATCTTTGAACCTCCATTTTGGATAGAAGCGGACATAGAAAATAAGGGAGCTTTTCATGGCCTGTTCTGCATTCGATGAGGAACTAATCCCCACATCTACTGACAATTTTAAGTTTTCGTGGTATTGAATCCTAAATTTACTGGGCTAAAAGTTCTGGAATCGAAGTTATTTGAATTTGTCTACTCTCATAAACGATTTCCTTTTTACGCATATCCTATTGTTGGGATGAAATTAGCTTGATATCAATTTTTTTTTTACTTAATGGTAGGTCGATTGGCTCTCCACTGTTTTTGGAGTCTTAGGAAGTATTTTATGCATATATTATACATAAATATATTCACATAAAATAGCTTTATGTAGAAGGACATTTATAATATGATAATCGTATTAAATCATTTTAAGATTGTAGTGATTATACTCTGATATTATGTATCACTAAATTTAAAAATGAATTTCATATCCTTCAGCTGAACCCTTACCATTCCCTGCTATCATGAGGCCATTTGGAATATTAAAAAGGCTTACTCCCTACACTTTTTATTTTACATTATTTTTTTCCTCTATATTTCCATTCAAATTGAAATGGAGAGGCATCGATTCAAAGAGATTAAAAAGATCTTATGGTAATTTCATCGATCATGTTTAATCCACGCTGAGAGGGACCCAGTAAATGGGGGGGGAATACAGTAAAATAAATGTATGACCCAGCAATCATTTATTGGATATGAATTAATCAAAAAGAACTTATATGTATATATGTATATATGAACATATATTTCATCTAGCACACATGTCTATGTGCACACATTCACTGTAGTGAAGAATAGGTAATAGTTAAGTTTAATGTGGAAATATTTTGTAGAAAAGTTGAAATGAACACCTTGAATGCAATAGTATATTAAAATTTTAAAAAATCACTCAATTTACACAATAGTACAATTTCATTTTATAGCAATTTTAATTTGCAAACCTTTATTGCTTGCATTATCTAGTTCTCTCCCTCAGTCTCTTATTAAAATTAAAGAGCTGGGACTTCATGGAATACTGCTTTGCTACCTGCTTGTAGCAGACGACAAAGCTAGGTTTAGAGTTCTCTAGAGAAAATTAAACTATTATATACATTTTCTTGGATCTATAAAAAAGAAAAAAATGAAACTATCATATATGCGTTCTGGTTGTTTCATTTTACTTAACTCTAGTTTTCTCTATATTTGTTTCTTGGCTTCTACTATATATGTATTATTTTATATTTATCTGATTTATTTTATCTAATTGACATTTTAGAATGGTATTATAAGTTACAAAAACCAAAAGAAGCTTTCTTAAAGTAGATAAAGTAATTTTTTGTAAATAAAGAGCAAGTTAGATATGTTGTTAGTGTCCTCTAAATCTCATAAATACGAATTTTTATTGTTAAAAATCCAATATGATGTCAAATTTATATATTATTTTATTTTTATCCCTTCATTTATTGACGTTTTATTAACCCTTTTCGTGAATTTTAATTTTCTTCATGTTGGTTACTTGCTAATACAAATCAAGTTAGATTAGTTTTTAGTATCCTTTAAAAATCAATATCATTTTTCTAAAACTTCAAGGACGTACTATTATATATTATTTTATTTTTGTATATATTATGCACTTTACTTTATCACTTTAGTATATTGTATACTTTTTATTTACATTTTCTTTAACTTTAATTTTATTGGTGTTTGTTGCTTGCTTATTTTGCTATTATTTAATTTAAATTTCATTGAGAATTGAGGTACGATTTATGATTTACGGCGATTCCCTCTGTCGTAAATGGCGGTATAGTCTGAAACACCAGCCCATGTGCTGGGAAAATGCCCCAACAACTCCCTCCTCATAACACGCCGGCACCATAGGGTAAAGTTCGAGGTGATGAGGCTCCTTAGAGAAAAGGAATTCACCTGCTTTGACGAGGTCTATTGCATCGACAGTGAAGGCTCTACAAGGTAAGCGGATATTGTCTCGTTTTCCAGAACAGGAGGGACAGCGCTGATCTTGGATCCAACTGTCAGCTTTGAGAGCAATGAACTCGATCAGGCGGGTGAAGTGGAAAGGGAAAAGAGGAATATATACGACAAATGCATCCCTTTCCTAAAAGAAAAATTCCGCGAGACCTTCGGAGAGTGAGTGTTCACCGTGAGAGGCCTCTGGTTTGGGTCTCGCGGAACGACAAAGGAGCTTCCTCGAGGAACTAGGTGTTGATGTTGGTATTGTAATATAGTAATGGGGGATGTCTTTTATTAATTATTTATTCAATTTTAAATTTTTCTATAATCGTCTTATCTTTTTATCTACATTTATGGAATTACTTTAGTATATATGTGTGCCATGTTGTATTGAGTTCGTGGCGTTTGAAATTTTTTTTTATTTTAGGAAAATGTTTGTTATAGTTTAATATGGTTTATTGTTGATAATTTATAGGAGTAGTATTATGAAAAGGGAGAAACAAAAAGAAAGGTAAGATATGTCATATACGTAAAAAAATAGAAAAATGTAATATAATAGTTTTGTCCATATCGATTGACAAGTATGCTGTGTATGTAGCAATCCCATGTAGTAGGGCAGCATTACTTTTAATAAAGTATTTCTCTCTAGTATAATGATTATTATTTCATTTCTGTCTATTTCATTTTATGACTTTTTATTTAAGATTTTCTTTGACTCTAGTTTTCTTAATATTTGTTGCGTGTTTATTTTGCTATTATATAATTTATATTCCTATGTAGTGACATGTGATGTACTGTTTATGTATTATTTTAATCAGTATCATTTTATTTTTATCTAATTTATAAGTTGGATTTTTATTTACTATATTTTTTAGAAACACATAATATGGGTAATGGATACTTATAAGCCTAATGGTTACTGCACTTGACTCTGATACCTTATATTATTGTTCACTGATATTCTATCTTTCATAGTTCAATAGTTATTGAATATTATAATCGGATACTTCCTTATTTTAAACTTTCAGTAACCACTAATCCCATAATCAGCAGGGTAATCAAATTCAGTTGCCATCCGGTAAGACCAAATTGTTATTATTGGGTAAATAAACTCTGTTTATAACTTTCTTTTTTTGGGGTTTTTTTTATAAATACGATCAGCATGAACGACATAAATTGGACCCAGTTCAAGCAACTATGCCCTAATAGCTGAGCTGGAATCCTATTACGGAAAAGACCAGGTGATAGCCAGGAACTAGAGGTGAAAAACTCCAGATTGGGGCGGTAATAAATTGGCAATTCAAGAAATCAGCATCTAATCTAGTGATAATGAGAACAGAAGAGTTTATTTTTCTTATCTAACGGTTTCTCAGCTCTGAAATGAGACCGGAAAAAAACAATTTAATACCTATCAGATCTGTTGTGCACAATATATAACTATTTTCACAATCTATTAGTCGTGATTTTTTTTTTTTTTTTTTAATTCGAGTTTAGTAGACTGAAAGTAGATTTATCAAGAATCGTAGTCTATTTACTTTAATAATACCACAGATACATTTTCAGGAATCCTGTTAAATTATTTGATTTTAACTTTGTTAGTATTTTATAACTGTTGGTGATTCAAAATCACCTGGTCCCCCATAAGTGTTAATGTTAAATGTTCACATGCATACAATAATAGAAAAATAACTATAAATAATAAAAAGTAAACAAATTATATTGATTAAAAAAGTAAATAATTTAGAAAAAATTAATAAAAACTTCTAAACACATTTGTAATTAAAGTCTTTGTAAATAAAGAATTGTTTCTAATGTTCAGTTAGAACTACTACTCTTTAGTAGAATAAAAATTATCAGGTAATGTGTAAAATATTTTAGCTTATAAATACTGAAACTACAATTAAACAAAAATGCATTTACGCTGATAATTGTTAAACGAAGATGATTTTAATAACTTCCATGTCGCGATATCTATGTCTGCATAAACAAGAATATAAAGGAAATTTGATTTCCTTTATTCTCTAGAAGCTATCATATTCTTTCATAACATTAAATTAATATATCTGATATAATAGGAGCAAAAATAAATATAGATAAAAGTTGTTTATTCTAGAGAAAAGAATACCACTTCCAGAAACTCATCATTTTAACAGCTCAACATGGAACTCCATCCTACTCGATATAGGTTAAAGAGAGATGAAAAAGTAATCAAATTTATAAAAGTTAATCAAACACAAAATGATCTCTTCTATTGTTTAAAAATTACATTCGATTGTCAGAAATTGTCTGTAAATTTAAGTAAAATCAGGATTTTCATAAATTACTTTCACTACTAGTGAAGTGGTTGAGGGAGTAGCGCAGAGATATCTAGGAGTCCTGCTTTTCTCTCCACAAGTAGAGAAATAAAACTGGTTCGGAGTTCCCTTGACTCTTATCTAAAGACAGTATAAAACTGTATTTGAACTATTGTTTTATTTTACATATATTTCTTTTCATTTTTTTATTAATAGTATATTTTTTGCTTTCAATATTATTATTGCTCTTATTTATTTATATTTTCTGTAAATAGAGTGTAAATAAACCCTATTATCACCCTTATTGTAACAAAATGTTATATTACTCAATAAAATAGTTTTAACATTTTAATTTGTCAATTTGGCAATTCATGAACAAAGCTTGACAAAGATGTATATGTGCATTATATTGTATATATTTAATATGTCATGTTGAAAAATAAAATTTGGGATAAAAAATTTCCTGGTCCGCTGGTGTTCCTCAAGGTAGTATCCTAGGATCTATCCTTTACACAGCTGACATCCTAAACCATCCTAACACTGTTATTACCACGGAAGCCGATGATATCCTATCCGTTAATAATGACCCAACCATTGCATTCCAAAATCTTCAATCACACACCATAAACCTTGAAGAATGGTATCGAAACTGGAGGATTAAAATAACTCCTAATAAATCTCATCAAATCACCTTTACCCTTCGCTGTAAACATATAACCTCTTGTCCTACAGTAACCTTTAATAATACTCCACTTAACCCTGTTGAACAAATCCGATACCTTGGACTCCACTTGGACAAACGTCTAACTTGGATTCATCATACCAGAATGAAACGACAAGAAACCGCTCGAAGTTTCCGACTACTCCAACACTTACGATACAAACTCTCTAACCTTCCAATTAATTACAAAAGACTCATATACATGACTACAATAAGACCTATTTGGACTTACGGAGTTGAAATTTGGTGCTCCACAAATCATCGAATTCCGCTCGTATTCAATCCTTGTAATCCAAAATCCTTCCGAAAATCCTGAAAGCTGCTTACTTTGTCACCAATAAAATAATCCATAACGACCTTGATGTTCCTTATGTATTTGATTTGGCCCAATCCAGATACCTATCATTGCATAATAAACTTCAGAACCATCCGAATCCCCTCGTCTCTAACCTTGCCTCCACTTTTACTATCCCTGATAACCTTCCGAAGCCTCTAAAAAGAAGATGGTCTCGAGATCTCCTATTGTAAATACATATTTATTCTTTTCAGAATGCTACCAATGCGTAGTTTCTCAACAAGTGATTTCATGTTATTATTTTCTGTTAACAAATTTACTAAATGTATTTTATTTATTAATACCGTTGTAAATATCATAAATAAAAATAAAATAAAAAAGAGTCAGAAAAAATCAACAATTTAAGTTTGTGCTATCAATTACCATGTTGAAAACAATATTACTGGCGTATGTATCCTTCTATTTGTGAACTTAATGTATTATTTTACTTTTATCATTATAGTTTATTTTTTACTATTTATCATTATTACTATTGCATATAATATTTTTTATTTTAATGAAAATTTATTTTACTTTGTTTCGTAAAATCATTTATACTTATTTTCTTGTAGGTATGCATTGCATGAATGGAAAAAAAAAGTACTTCAATATTATCTTTCCCAATAATAAAATTATCATAATAGGTGTATATTTTCATTTCATATTATTTAGTTTTTACTTTTTGGCCTAAATATGTTGAATATGCTTAAAGTACTAGAAAATTATGTAATCGTTTACAAAGGTTTGTTATTCTTACTTTTGTTTTTATTATTCAATTTAAATATTTATAATTATATATTTTTGTTTTATTTGTGATTTTAATTGCAGGTAATTTTAATTTTTTGTTGTTATGGCTTTATTTTAAATTGTTTTCGTACAAAATTCATTATGTAGAAAAAAACTTAATTATGCTCGAAGGATGCATTTAAAAAAAAAAAAAAAATGTTCAGATTAAAATATAGTCTTATGTAGGGAGCGGAGTAATTCAATAAGAAATAATAAGTGGTAATTGCTTATTTTATTACATCAATCATATATCAACTATGGGATCAGGAGACCCTTCCAAGGCACACACAGTCTCTATAAATTGGATACTCATTTATTAAATAATTATGAGAGAAAACTTAGTGTTTGATCATGATCTCGGCTTAGTTAATTAAGTATTGAACCCAAGACATGTCAAGGATATTATATTATAATAATGTATCCATTAATATACGTCATATTACATAAACGAATTATTTTTTGATGTTCTATCAAACATGACACCTTTAGCACTAATATTCATAACATATATATTGGCATTGGTAATCTCAATTATTCTCAGGATAGTTAAAAATAGATTAGACTGCTAATTAACTACAAAATTGTTGTTTATATTATTAATTTTTGCTGTGTTAAAATAATTTTAAAAAAAGAAGAAATTTACTGCTCGTATAATAGCAAATGGATTGGCTGTTTTTATGATGTTTTATAACTATTATTTAGTCCACCTGTAATTCTGGATAATTAAGTTAAGAATCCTAGATTTGGAGATAGAAATGAATGGTCGTCTACATTCTATTATTTAACTAATATTGTGAAATTTTGTTCAAAGTTCAGTATTTATTAGATGAGTATAGTAATAGAAAAAAGAAAATAACAACTCGGTATTGATGTATTACCTAAATATATTATTCTTATACAAACAAATTTTCCAAAACTAATTTCAGCCTCATCATTCTTCATCGCAAATTATTCAACTAAAGTTAGTGATCGATTCGTCTTGCAGTTCGTCAGTATCAGGTTATAATAGAACATTAAATTACGAGGAGCTCGACCACTTTACTAAAGTTTTTGCCCTTGTTAATTTTTAACTTTCAAATTATCATGAAAAGAAAACGGTTCTCATTCTACAATATTATCATCCGATAATAATTTTTTTTCATCTAAATCTTGTTAAACTCTATTATTTTATTGGGAGAAATTCACTCCGAATTATATTTTGCTGAATCATTACCAAAATATTTGCTTTAAGAATAAAGACCTGTCGTATATGCAGGCACTTACCTTTATATATCATTAAAAATAATAAGTGTATCTTTCAACATCATTGTATCTAAAAATTAGACAAAAAATCAAAAAATAATTCGTTTATGTAATATGACGTATATTAATGGATACATTAATATAATATAATATCCTTCTGTAACACCATAGCCCATGACGTGTCTTGGGTTCAATACTTAATTAACTAAGCCGGGATCATGATCAAACGCCAAGTTTTCTCTCATAATTATTTAATAAATGAGTATCCAATTTATAGAGACTGTGTGTGCCTCGGAAAGGTCTCCTGATCCCATAGTCGATCTATGATTGATGTAATAAAATAAGCAATTACCACTTATTATTTCTTATTGAATTACTCCGCTCCCTACATAAGACTATATTTTAATCTGAACATGTTTTTTTTTTTTTTTTTAAATGCATCCTTCGAGCATAATTAATTTTTTTTCTACATAATGAATTTTGTACGAAAACAATTTAAAATGAAGCCATAACAACAAAAAATTATTGCCTGCAATTAAAATCACAAATAAAACAAAAATATATAATTATAAATATGTAAATTGAATAATAAAAACAAAAGTAAGAATAACAAACCTTTGTAAACGATCACATAATTTTCTAGTACTTTAAGCATATTCAATATATTTATTTAGGCCAAAAAGTAAAAACTAAATAATATGAAATGAAAATATACACCTATTATGATAATTTTATTATTGGGAAAGATGATATTGAAGTACTTTTTTTTTTTTGTCTATAAAAGATGTATTTGCGCCTGTCAACTTATTGTTGACAATCAGCAAATGTGATGGCAATATATGAAATAATGACATGACATCCATGGGGAAGGGAAGTACTCAGCAGTACCTCTTCCCTAAGTACTAAAATGTATATTAAAAAACAAGTATTTTATTAAAAGAAATGAATTTTCTTCATAAAGCATAAGAGCCTGAAGAAATGATGTTTGCGCGTAATTATAGACTCATATATTTTAAGGAATATGTCTTTGAAATGAAAAATGTAGTAACCAATCTACTGCATTTTTAATATATCTCAAAACCTGCATAGTTCGTAGTAGAGATACCCTATTTATCAAATTATTAATATCCGCCTAAAACTTCGTGAATTTGGGCCGTTTGGTCTATATAACCTCGTTATTTTGAAATATTTGGGGGTGGAAGTCACGCCAAACGGTCCAATATGTTTGTAGGCCACCTTTTTTCTCGAATTTGTGCTCAACTTAT